TTAACCATTTATAAATTAACCTGCCTATTGAAACTAAGCTTAAACATCAATTCTCATATGTTGAATATTGAATCAATATTGCATAACTCATACAATTAAACTAGGCCTAATCTAATTGCATAGCAGTAAATCAATCAATAGGAAACCAATCACAGCATTGACAATCATCAACAATAATAAATTACCCCTTCTTATTATTTATGAATCCCCACGAACCCTAGAAATAAACTACTCACACATATTGAAATCTAAACTAAGCGAAGTAATAAATAAGACATGATTAATCAAAGCAATTACATTACTAGAAATAAAAGGGAAAGAAATCGTTACCAAAATAAACGGAATATTGAATTGCATTATCCAAAAGTGTTGAGAGAACAAGAGTATTAATCCAAAGCTTAAAACTAAAATCTGGAATTTAATTAATGAATGACGTAATTGTTTCGCTTAACAAAAGCGTATTTATACTAAAGCTCGAAAATCCTAAAACTAAACAAAGTAAAAATCGTCATTAAAACTCTCCAATAACACGTGCCCGGTCGGGCGCCATCTCTCCCGGCCGAGCCCGCCTTCGGGCAAGAACCTCTCGCTCGCTCGCTCGGTCGGGCGCCATCTCGGGTGGAGAGCTGCTTCTTTTTATCTGCCTCGCTCGGCTGGGCGCGCCTCAAGGCGAGGGCATCCCCGGTCGGGTGAGCATTCGGGCTCCATGGACTTCTTTGATTGGGCTTTTACTTAGCCCAATCCAGATTTCCTCTTTGGGTCTTTAACACTTAGTCCATTGCCTCGGTCTCTTCTTCTTCGCCGAGCCTTTAATCACTGGTTTGATTGCTCCAACGCGGTCTTGGGCTACGGAATGTGGTCATATGAATGCGATCCTAATCCAATGCTTGTAGTGGTCTAAATAAGTCCGGGAAAATGCTCCAAATCTGCAATTTCCTATAAAACAATACCAAAGCTACGAAAACACTAGAAAACGCATATTAGTAATAAAAGTGGCTCCGTAGAGCCAAAAAATACTCTTAAATATGAGCAAAGGACAGGGGTAAATCACTATATAAAATGAACATATCAATAAATAGAGTATATAGATAACTTTATGTACGAAGTATAAAAAACCGTGTAAGTAAATTTGGAGGGGGATAGTCGTTCACGCAATGCGTGCGCATCTAACCTTGTTTAAAGATAATGAACTGTAAAACTTCAGAGATCCTGACCTAACCACTCATCATATCTTATATTTTATAAAATAATAAAATAAGTATACATTAGAAGTATAAAATAAATTTTTATATACCGTAACATCAAGAAGAACCATCTTCCAATTTTTTTTTTTACTATTTTTGACATGTTGAATTTCGTATAATCTTATAATCATTGCCTTCACATTCCAAAATTTAGAGTACGGGTTCAAATACATGAAAGGAGCGTATGCAACTGACATCCTGCAAATAAAAAAAGATGAAAATGACTAGTCTTTATCTAACGAAATCACAATTGTATACGAAAACCAAAAAATAAGTAAATACCTTGTACCTACTTTACATTGCTTCTTTAATCTTGTAAATATAATATTAAGAGAAGATCTAAGTTTACGCGAAGAATGAAAAAATTAGAGTTTGAATGAGGAAAGGATGAGCATTTAATGCTTTTCTCATATTTTGTTTTTGAGAAGGAAGTTTACTGCTAATTTGATAGTAGTGGGTGTGTCAAAAAAAAATAAAAATGATAGTAGTGGGGAGGTTACGTTGTAAGCAATGCCTTTTTTTTTTTTTTTTTTTTAATAATCAGTTGTAAAGTAACCGTCAAAAATTTGGATATTTTCTTAGAATTTCATTAATTATATATTATCTTTGTAATTCAATAACTGTCAGAATAGATTACCTTTGTAATTCAATAATTGTTAAAATAAAAACTACTGTTAGTAAATAAGTAACTGTAAAGAAGGGTATTTTTGGAAAACAAAAAATCCCAAACAAAAAAGGGAGCTCACTTAAAGAGTAACAAACATAGATTCTCTCTCTTCTCTCCTCTTTCTCTTACACAACTTTAAATTATTTCCTAATTTCTTATTTCTCTCTCCTTTATTTTCTCTCTCTCTTAAATTCATTAATTATTTTGTTTTTGTTTTAATTCCTTCATCACCATAGATTGAATTCCTTCATCACCATCGTTGATCACCATAGATTAAATTCAAATTTCGTTTTCTTCAACCTTCAATTTGAAGCTTTGTTAATGGAGTTTCTGCAATGTAGTGAAGTTGAAAATGGCGGCTTTAACAAGGAAAAGGTGGTTAAGATGACGGAGATGATTATTTTCCGTTGAGATTCCATTATCTAAATCACCATGGCTAGGTTTGAGTTTTGGAATAAGTAGCTTTCCTTTTCTTTTTTTTTTTCTTTTTTTTTTGTTAGTGATATTTGTGTATTTTATTATGAACAGTTCTGTTTTTGGTTATATTTTGGTATTTTGAACATTTTAAGTTAAAAAAATGATCGTATGATACGTTTCCTATAAATATATATTTTTACTGACATATATTTTTGGAATTATGAACATTTTAATTATACTTCTGAACATGTAATACATTACTTATGAACCTTGTTTTTTTTTTTTTTTTTTTTTTTTTTTTTTTTTTTTTTGGTTTTTGATCTATGTATATTTAATCATTTTACAAAAATTGGCATGCTATACTTCATAATTTATATATCTGAACATTTGATTCTTTGCATATGAAAATTTATTTTGTTTTCGATTTATGTACTTCCTCCGTTCTAGTAATATTGGAACAACTGGACTTTTGCACTATTCATCATGCTTGTTTGACCACAAATTATGATTTATACGTAAAGTAAAATATAGTCATGTCGGGTCTTGTTAGATTCGTCTCGTAAAATACTTTCACAATATCAACTTTTCATAATTTTTACTATTATATAGTTATAGATATTTAACATATAAAATGTGCTTTGAGATGCGTAATTTCATCCTTGTTGCAATATTTATGGAACAAAGGAAGTATTTTAAAAACCTTTTTAAGTTTTGTAATTCTGAACATATTATGTAGGATATCTGAAGATGTATATGTATTTTATGAACATTTGAGTTAGATCGATATATGAACATAAGTTAATTTGGGTTAAGGAATTATGAAATTCAATTGGGATATGATATATAAAATGAACATTTAGTATATTTCAAATGAACATTTAGTACATTATAATGAAACAATATGATCTATTTTTCGTTAACAATTATCTATATAAAGTTTTAAACTATAGTTTTTTAACATGAACATATAAAATATGAACATTACACTATTAAAATTTGAACATATAATTTTTGAAAATAAACATTGAAATTTTTAAATATAATCATTACATTATTTTATGATGAGCATCAATAAATATGAACATGACACTACTCGAATTTGAACATTTATTATTTGAAAATGAACATTGAAATTTTAAATATGAACACCAACACTATTTAATAATGAACATCAATTTTTTGATAGAAATTTGTCTGACTCGGGATAATTTAATAGTTTTGTTACATAAACTGAACATTTAGTGCATATAAAATGAACATTTCATTATAAAATATGAACATATAAAATTGGATGTGTTTGTTCATTTTTTATGACGTATTCATATTTATTTACTAAATGTGCATTTTTGATAAAGTGTTCATATTTTTTTTTTCGGATTTTTCATGATATACCACTGAGTTTCTTCAAAATTCACCTTATACCACACAAAATTTTTTAATTCACCATATACCATTGAGTTTAACATAAATGTCACAACATGCCATTTTCGTTAACTCAGTTAGTCATTAACGTTAATTGTGCCATGTGGCAGCTTGTAATTGGTTGCCTTTTAAATTATTAACTTTTAAATAATTATTTAATTAATTATCAAAAAATAAAAATAAAAAAAAAATAATTGAAAAAAAATTAAAACCACCACCAACTCCCAGCCATCTCCTCGCCCCCAACCAGCACCTAGCCCAGCCCCCCCCCATCCGTACCCAGCCTTGAACCACCACCGCGCCGGCGGCACCCCTCACCTAGATGACACCCTACCCTCCTATCTTTCCCCACCCGACACCACCCCATGCCCCTTTTCCCCCATCGGAAGCCCTAAATTGACCCTTACTTTCCCCTGCTTCTCTTTCCCCAAAAACCACATGTAATCAAACCATTCGAGTAATGCGAAATTGAATTCATTCGATTCTCAACAAATTCTTGTTCATAATCACTCGTTTTGGGGATAATTGAGTAGGGACCAAACACTGACGACCAAACCCTTGGTTTTTGATCGAAATTAGGTTTAGAATCTGGGGAATTTTATGGGGTTTCTTTACTTCAATTATTGGCAACAAGTGGAGGAGATTCACGGGAATGGTCAATGGTTCACTAAGTGAATCAACCAAGTATTCAATGGAGGTTGAAAATGGCGAGATAATTGAGGGTCGGGGTGGCCTAGGCTAAGGGAGGAGGGTAGGGTGTCGTGGGTGAGGGGAAAGAGATGGTGGTCGGCTCGCCGGCGACAAAGGAGGTGGACGTCGCTGTCGGCACGGGGGAGAGGGCAAGATTCCGGCAGCCCGCAGGGAGGGATTGCGAGGGAGGAGGCTGGGCAAGGCCGCCGGGGGGAGGGGAGCTGGGCTGGTGGGGGAAGGGGGTGTCGGGGTTGGTGGAGTGAGGAAGAACCAAGTTGTTTTTTTTTTAATTCTTTATTTAACTAATTAATTAGATAATATTAATAAGAGCCAATAAGTGACAGCCACGTGGCATAATTAACCCTAATTACTAATGGCGTTAACGGCACACTAACGGCAGTTACCATTAATGGTATTCTGTGTTAACGTACGAAAACTCAATGGTATATGGTGAATTAAAAAATTTTGTGTGGTATATGATGAATTTTGAAGAAACTCAGTGGTATATCATGAAAAATCCGTTTTTTTCACTAAATGTTCATATTACAGATGCAGTGCATCTATTTCTAGGTGCCTAATGCATCCCAAAAACCAGAAATTCAAAACAATAAATAAAAACATACTCTAGTATTATCCAATTCCGCCATGGGAGTAGCAGAGTAACAGCAACAGCAAAATCCATCCTCCACCATTCTACTCTCTAACATTCTCTGCATTTCTGCAACTCCATAAAATGCTACTCTCCTTTCTCTCTCCTCTTCACCTCTCTTCCACCACTCCCACCACTCCCCGCCGCTTCACCTCCGCCGCCGTCCGCACCCAACCACCACCACCACCTCCACCACCGTCAGCACCGCCTAATTCTCTCTCCTTAAACCCAAACAACCTCAATTCTTCATCTCCTCCTCCCTCTCTCTCTTGCGCTCTTCAGTGCCCCCATTTTTACTCGTATGTTCTTCAATTTCTTCCTCTGTAATTCTTTGTTTTGAAATTCGGATTAAATTTTGTTGGAATTTGTTGATTTAATTTGATTTTGGTTAGTTGTTCGGGTTGTACGCACGAGTATGACCTCCACCATCCGAGTATTGTTGATGAGGCTGCCGAGTTCTTCAAACGCTATGGTGTTTCCGATTTCACTTTCGACAGTTGTAGACTGGTATGAAAATTGCCGATTAGTTAATTTCATTAATTAGTTTATCTATTTAATCTTTGTTTTGTTTTAAAATAATTTGTTCTATTTGATGTTTTATGCAATTCATATTTGAATTTGTTCATTGCTAACTAATATGTTTGCTATTGTTCGAAAATTCAAATTATTCTCTCCGTCCTACTTTGATAGGCAACATAAAGTCGACTATAATAGGCTACACTAAGTGTGACTTTTAAGGGATTCGCTCAAACTACTATAATTATACGTAATACAATGGTTGAGAATATTTTATTATGATACTGCAACTATTTATTAATTTATTATTTATTTTTTTAAACTGTAAGTATACAAAAATTAATTGTTTCATTAAGTATATGTGAATAGTGACCTGTTATTTGGGACATCTAAACATAGAATTGTACTTCATAGCTTATAAAAGTAGGGGAGGGTGGTTCATGCAAATGCACACAGGGCATATATGATTTTTATGTTATGTTTCCGAATTATGAAGATGATTATTGTACAAAACCCAAGATGTTGTTTATAGAATCTCTTGGTATGATTTACTGTAGTACATTGTGAGTTATGTGCAATATTATGGAATCAATTGCATTTCAATGTTAATTATGTCAAATTTGGAATGCAGTATGGTTGGAGATGTCGGGCAAAGCTTGCTGTACGTGGTTCATCAGCTAACCCTATGATCGGCCTGTATGAGGAGGGTACGCATAATGTTGTGGACATTCCTGAATGCAGAGGTTTGACTTTTGAGCTCTATCCCACAGTCCTACACTCCTACATGTTTAAAACAACATTTTTGACTGTATTACTATCATGTTCGACATATTACTTTGACAAAAGAAGTTGGGCCTAGCAAATTGATTGCATTTTACCAAATTAATTTCAGATTAGCAAAAATTGGTTGATTTGAGCAAAATTAAGTTGAACAGAACATGGGCTTCCAGCCTTCTTGTTCATTCATATGTTGATTGATTAAATCATTTAATTGTGTCTGTTAATTGGGTTGCAGCTCATCATCCCAACATTAACGCAGCTGTTGAGTTGCTTCGAAAAGGTTTGTTTTTGAAAGCTTGATGTAGCGCATATTTTCTCTTACAATCTATGAATATATTTGAAATAGTGTTATATACTTATTTATTTTAAGTTTAATTGTATGGTTTCTTAGGTATTGCGAAATTGGAAGTAGAACCATATGATGAAGACTTGGGGACCGGTGAATTGCGATATGTGCAAGTTAGTGTTGATATGCTATTTTTTAGATTTAATTAGCTATTTCATATTCATAACCTAATCCATATTATTGAATTTGAGTGTGTGCAGATGGTCGTAACAACACATAGCACATCCCTTCCGTTTTCTGAAAGATATAGAAATGGTTATCATCTATACACATGCTAGCTTAAATTTCAAGTGTTTAGTTTGAGATGTTTTGTTTATATTTTATTCCGTTGAATCTTTTGGAGCCTGACATACCTTTATTTAGGTAAAGTGCAGGTGACATTAGTTTGGAACTCAAGAAGTGAGACGACACAAAGCTCTGAGAAACTTAATTCATTGGCTAATGTAAGTTGTTTAACTAGTTTAGGAATTCTTAAGCAAATTTTATGCTACTTATGCATCACCTTTGAGAAGTATTTTTGGGAAAATCATGTCATGGGAAATTAAAGAAATATAAAATCTAATTTGGATTAGTGACCATATTTTAGCAGAATTCTTAGGGTGATAGCTTTAGGCTTTAACATGTGATAGAGCAGTGGCGTATCCAAGTTTTAAAATCAGGCTATGCACAATTACATAAAGGAATTTAGATAACATCATAAGATGAGTCTAATGCTAAATAATCAACATATAATTCAAAGTTGCAAGATAAAACCCTACATAAAACTCACACCATCCCCAAATTAAATGTCTATTTCACTTTACGCGGTATTTGACCATCAATATGTTGACAAAAATTATATAAAGTTGATATTACTTCGTCTAAACAACATATTATTGAAACAAATCCAACGATATCTTAGATTACTATTCGTATTTTTTTTTTTTTTATATATATATTAATGAGAATTAAATATGTAGTAAAAGTTGTTTATATTTGACTATCATCATAGAAACAAGCGCTTAATTTTGAAACAGTGGGAATAATAAATAAACCTACAGGAGTACAGGTGATTGATAAATTGCATATTGCAGTTTGTATGGAGCAGTTAATTAAAAATCTTTGATGGGAACATGAGTAGAGAGAGTTAGAGGAGATAATATTTCGTATACTATTTGCTTCAATACACTTTTTAGATGTTAACAGCTACCCACTATCCTTCTATTCCCTTATCTATATATGCTATATTTTGTTAAGTCAAACTCATCAAAAAATAAAAAATTAACATGATTTGAGGGGTATGCAGGTGCATAGCCTCAATGTTAGCTACATCCGCCCCTGTGATAGAGTGAAGAATCTATATATAAAATAAAGACAAGCCTTCAATCAATGCTTACTTTTGATGTTTATAGCCCAATTAGCCCTAAAGTCTCATACATAATGATTATATTGAACCCTACCTTCCCAGTCTCATACATAATGATTATATTGAACCCTACCTTCCCAAAGTTAAAATGATTTCATAGTTTTTGCTTTGTGTGGTTTAATTTAAAAGGCAAACAGGGAGAGAGATTGAGAGAATAATTTAACCGAATTTTGAAGAAGACTATTGGCAGCAGGAGGTGGTATTTTCTGCGATTTCTATACATGAGGAAATGCGTGTAGGGTATAGCTTTGCAGAGGGTATGGTCTGTACTTAATATTTATAAGAAAGAGTTCTAAACCTTTGACTAATGCTGTAGACAAGCTCTTGCTATAAGTCAGGGAACAATTATAAGGCCCATAAACATAAGGCTATTACTTTTACATGTCTTTCCGTAGTCTAGAGAGTGGAGATCCATAGATTCCACAAAGGAGAGAAAGAAAGATATTCCTATTTCTTACTTTTGTACTGTCACTTTATTACAAAAAGTACCATCAGATAGCCATATATCGGAGGGTGATATTCTTATATGAGAAGACCTCAAGACCCTCAAATATTTGTATTTGTGTGGCTTGTCAATCAACTAAGCACCATAGTTTTCTATCGGTAAAAGTACAAGCATACAACAACTGTATACCTTTGTATTTTTCATCATTTTTCCGCCCAAAAAGGGCAAAAACCCCAAATACAAGCATAGGTTGTTCATACAGACATACTACTTAGCACTCATTTTTATTTGGTAAGGACCAAGGTTTCTGAAACCTGGAACTTATTCTCCACCCGTTCAGATTATTTGAGAAAATTGATAAGCAACACCAAAAAAAAAAAAAAAAAAAAAAAGTTTGGTCACATTAATGACTTATAACGAGCTGGTTGAGTACTAGCTGCACATACTAGGAGGGGAAATGTGATCAAAGAACAATTTTTCTAGCTGCCCATTTTTATGTCAGTGTTTACACTCACTAAATAAGGGTGCTAGATATTTGGTGCGGACTATTTTGACACAGATATTATATAGAAATAAATATACAACATTTATTTTTGGTTGTAGATGGAAGCCCTAACATCGCCTATATGATGAAGGGGTGGATTATATTGAAAATATAATATACACCCGGGAATATGGTGCACCTAATGTTATTTTCTGCTCATTCAATATTTTGAGCTAAAAATATCAAACGAGTAAAAAAAACCACCCTTTGGTGCACCTAGCTCTATGTCACCCAATGTCTAGGATTATATGGGTAGTGATGAAACTGAGGTGTGATTGACTAGAATAGAGTTTATATTTTATATTTTTATTTTTTTTGGCCTATAATGCTGAGATAATGTAAAAATATAGTTTAATTTGATTAGAAGGAGGATATTTTTTTCTCTTCGTCAATAGTTGTTTTCTTATTGCTGTCTTCACGATAGTTTAGTTGTTAATGTTGTTATGGTCAAAAGTGTGCACTGATATTGCTCATCCCCTCTTAGAGAAACATTTATGTAAGGAGGGAGTAAATTGGAACAACATATAGGAAACATATCCAATGGGATGTTTTTAACATGAGAATGATAGATGTGCAACTTTTTTTTAACCTAATATTTAAACTTTAGAAGCTGAATGTGTATATCATTAATTTTTTTGTTGGAAGGAGAAAAAATAAAAAAAAATCACATTCAATTAAAAAAAATTGCTCTTAAAATTTGAGCCAAAACAATTTGCACATTTGGCTCTAAAAATTTTGCACATCTAGTTTGAAAAATATGCACATTAGATCCTTCTCTCTTTATTTTATTTTTTATTTTTTTTATTTACGAGCATTTTTACTGTTGGTTTTATTAGTTATAATCTGTTAAGATTTATGCTTTCAGTTTCTACGGACTAATGGTGGCCAAAGGAGCAATGTTAACATAATTCATTCCATTTGGGCTAATTTTCAGACTTCAAACAGCAATGTAAGTAAATACTTTGTGTGTCAAGAATATGGTGAAAATATGGTGACATAAGCTGTTTTGCATACACAAATGACTAGTTTAAAGTACTTTTTGAGATATCCAACTCTTTCTTTATTTATTTAAATATTCTTTCCAGGAGATCCATTAATTTTTGTTGTCTGGGTTTATGATGTAGAGCCTTGCAAATTGATATGGAGTAAATGAAAGGAGAAACGCAATGAAGTAAGAAAAACGGGATGGGAATAACATAAGCAAATTTGTGTAGGAGTTATATCAATTTACAAATTGCTAACTCAAATAATAATAAGGATTATATGGAGGAATAAATGTGGGTTACAACCCGGGATAACAAAATATACTCTTCCTTAATATAATAAAACTTCTCCTTATATTCTCTCCTTTTTAATTTTCTTTCTGTCTCTCTCTTTTTTTATTTTTAATTTTTTTTATTTTTTATTTTTTATTATTGTAAATAAAAATTTGAATTTATATGATCTCATTTGCTAATTATGTAGAGGATAAGAATTAACAATCATCATTATCCTCTCATATCTTATTCTAATATAAGCAATACAAAAATAGTTTTTCTAAATAAAGTTTGTGGTTTTCAACGCGCCCTCTCAAACTTTAACTTTCATTCCGTGTAACTCTCTTAATTGTTTAAATGTTTTATAAGATCGGGGCTTCGTAAATATGTCTGCAACTTGCTCAGCACTATTACAATACTTCAGTGTGATGTGTGATTGTTCCTTGTTTAACTTGATCTCGAAGAAAATGAAACCGAGTATCAATATGCTTGCTTCTTCCATGTTGTACTGGATTCTTAGCAAGTTTTATTGCTGACATATTATCTACATAGATCGTAGTTGGTCCTTCTTGAACATGACCAGTTTCTTTCAAGAGATTTCTCAACCATAATGCTTCACAAACTGCAGACGAAGCTGCTATGTATTCAACTTCACAACTTGATAGTGCCACAACTGGCTGTTTTTTAGAACTCCAGGTAATAGCAGTTGAACCTAGATAAAATACATATCCTGATGTACTTTTTCTTTCATGTTGAGCTCCAGCCCAATCACTATCACTATCTGAATAGCCGTATAACGTTGCTTCATCTCCATAAGAGTAAAACATCCCATAATCTAAGGTACCTTTAATATACCTTACTATTTTCTTTGCAGGGCACCAATGTAATTCTTTTGGTGTTTCCATATATCTACTTTCTTTTGGTGTTTCCATATATCTACTCACAGGCCCAACTCCATATACAATATCAGGCCTTGTGATAGTCAAGTATCTCAAACTTCCAACTAGACTTCTATATAAAGTTGGATCAATCAATTTTCCTTCTCCAACTTTTGTCAACTTCTTGCGATGGGAATGCTCATGGGTTTGCATGAGCCCATTTTAAATTTCTCAAGTATTTCTTTGCACATTTCTTTTGTGAAATAAAAATTCCATCTTCACATTGCTTTACCTCAATGCCTAGAAAGAAGTTCATTAGCCCACAATTTGTCATTTCAAATTCTTTGAACATTGCCGCTTTGAAATCATCAAACATACTTTGGCTGTTGCTGGTGAATAATAGATCATCAACATATAAACTTACTATAGGAATATAATCACCATTCTTCTTCATATATATAGCATGTTCGTATGGACACTTTGATAAAACCATTCTGGATCAAGTATCCGTCTATACGTGTATTCCAAGCTCGTGGGTCTTGCTTTAGACCATAAAGTGCCTTTTTCAAACGAAGTACTTTATCTTCTTTTTCCTTGATGACAAAACCTTCTGGTTGTTCCACATAAACTTCTTCTTCTATAATTCCATTTAAAAATGCTGACTTAACATCAAGTTAATATATCTTCCATTTGTGATGTGCGGCAAGTGAGATCATCATTCTTACGGTGTCTAAACGAGCTATGGGAGCAAACACTTCATCATAATCAACACCATACTTTTGCTTGTATCCTTTTGCTACAAGTCTTGCCTTGTATCTTTCAACGCTTCCATCTACACCTCTTTTTTATCTTATAAACCCATTTTACACCTATGGCCTTATGGCCCTTTGGCAATGTAGCCAACTCCCATGTATCATTTTTCTCTATTGACTGAATCTCCTTTTTCATAGAGGATATCCATTCCTCTTCTCCTAATGCTTCTTCAAAATTAATGGGTTCGTGGTTTGCATATAAGCAAAATAAATCAACTTCATTAACTTCATTTGTCTCTTCATATATGTCTCTTAGACTTCTCATTTTAACAGGTGTTTTTTGATGTTGAATCTGATCTTTCAGTTGATGGCGATGATGATGATGAATCATTATTATTTGTTAGAGTCCTTGGCTGAGTTTTTTCGGAAATATCATTATAATCTTCAAAAACAATTTTCTCTTTTTCTTTTTCCCTTTCTTGATTATCCCATTTCCAAGATTCTCCTTCAGTAAAGATTACGTCTTTACTCTCAATCAGCTTTCCAATAATTGGATTGTACAGCTTATAAGCTTTAGATTGTGAACTGTATCCAATGAAGATACATTTTTCACCTCGGTAATCTTACTTCTTTCTCTATGCCTCGGGTATTTGAGCATAGGCTATGCACCCAAATACTCGAAATGTTCAACATTTGGCTTCTCACCACTCCATGCTTTTTGTGGTGTCATATTCTTTACACTCTTTGTAGGACAACGATTTAGAATATAAGTTGTCCATGCAACAACTTTTGTCCATTGGCAATCCTCTTTCTTTCAAAATGCTTCGCATCATGTCTAGAATTGTTTGATTCATCGATTCGGCAATTCCATTTTATTGTGGTGTATAGGAGGCTGTAAATTGTTGTCTAATTCTTGCATCTCTATTGAAATATTTGAATATATTTGATGTATATTCGCCCCCTCGATCAGACCTAAGTGTTTTCAACTTACGTCCACTTTCTAGCTCTACTCGAGCCTTAAATTGTACGAATGCTGACTTTTCCTTCAGCATATACTCCCATAATTTTCTACAATAATCATCAATGAAGGTAATAAAATAGCGATTACCTCCTCAAGATATTGGCTCCAATGGTCCACATATATCTGTGTGTACCAATTCTAATGGTGCTTTAGCTCTCCATGATAATCCCTTTTGGAATGGAAGTTTAGCTTGTTTTCTAGTTGTGCATATTTCACAAACTTCAATGGTAGGTAATCCATGCACCATATTCTTTGATTGCAAAACTTTTAGACCATTGAAATGTAAATGCCCAAAACGTTTATGCCATTTCCATGACTCATTCTCCATAATATCGTAGAAACACTTTTGAACCTCGGTGTTAAGTTGCAGCGGAAACATGCAATTCTTCGTCATTTTCGATTGAGCAATGATTCTTCCACTATTATCTTTTAGTTGAAGATGATTACCCTCCATATGAACAATATATCCTTTTTCCAAAAGTTGTCCAATACTGAGAATGTTACTCTTTATATTTGACACATAATAAACAGTAGAAATGAATTCTTCATATCCATTCTTAAGAAAAAAATTGTATTTTTCCTTTACCTTCAACTTGTAGTTTGGATGAATCTTCCAAACTTCCATTACCTTGAATCTTCTCATCAAGGTCAATAAAAAATTCTTTTTTCCCACACATGTGGTTGCTAGCTCCAGAATCGAAAAACCACGTCTTGCTGATTTCTCCCACACATGTGGTTGCTAGCTCCAGAATCGAAAAACCACGTCTTGCTGATTACTAGCTTCTTCATGTGCCAATAACAATGTAGGACTTTCTTCATTGTTTCTTGATGATTTAGCAAATTTTAATCGATTGCCTTGATCATTTTGTTTGCTCCAATAGTCAAATGCATAATGTCCATATTTTTGACAATTATAGCACTGAATGTCTTTTGATTTACCGCGTTCGTTGAAACTCTTTCCTCCACTGTTTGACCCTTTCCCTTGGCTAAAAACTTCTCTCATTACTTTGGTTGCGAGGTTGGTAGTTACCACGACCTTTTCCTCGTCCACGAAATTCGCCTCGTCGATTTCCACCTCTTTGTTCATTTAATGACAACTTTGATTTAAGTGCCTGCTCTATAATACCTGGTTCATCATTCTTCTGAATTCTTTGTTCATGTACTTAAAAGGATCTCATAAGTTCTTCTATTGATAATGAATCAATATCTTTTGATTCTTCTATCGTAGGTAATACATGGTTAAATCTTTTATTGCATGATCGAAGTACTTTCTCAATAATCTTTTTATCTTCAATCTTTTCTCCATTTAATTTTTGTTGGTTAACATTTGTAAGTAGGTGAGAAAAATATTCAGAGATTGACTCATTACTAGTCATTTTGATTTCCTCAAATTCACCTCGTAGTGCTTGTAAGTGAATTTTTCGAACTCTCTCGACTCCTTTAAATATAGTTGTAAGATTATCCCAAGCTTCCTTGCTTGTGGTTGCATTTGAGATTTTCACAAATGTTTCGCGGTCTAATCCTGCGTAGATAAAAAATAGTGCCATTTGATATTTCTTCTGATTTTCTTTCAACTCATCTTTCTTCTGTTTAGTTAATGTCGCTTTTGTTTCATCCGATGGATTTTCAAACCCATCATTAACAATTTCCCACAAATCTTGGGAACCAAATGCTTTCATTTTGATGCACCAATCTTCATATTGGTCTTTTGACAATTGGGGTACTTGTGGTTGAACAAAGTTTGTAGACATTTTGGGATATTGCAAATAATGTGGCTCTGATACCAAATGTAGGAGTTATATCAATTTACAAATTGCTAACTCAAATAATAATAAGGATTATATGAAGGAATAAATGTGGGTTACAACCCGGGATAACAATATATATGAAATATTTAAAAAATTATATATTTTGTTATCCCGGGTTGTAACCCATATTTATTCCTCCATATAATCCTTATTATTATTTGAGTTAGCAATTTGTAAATTGATATAACTCCTACAATTTGAACTTATGAGAGATATAAGATATAAAACTAAGGACAAAGTCCAAATTGCCATATAGCAAAAGTTTTCGTTAAAGAATGTTTGATGAGGAAAAGAACTGGGGGTAAAGGTATATATCAGTGGGAGTAAATGTAGAATTTTAGAAGAATAAAAAGGTCAATATATTAACTCCTGTTGAGCAATAGTCCAATGCAGGTTTCTATCTGAATGAGATGTACGACTCTTCTTTCCTTGAATATCAATTTTAAAATCACACCTTGAGTTAGAATAGTGTCCCTACTAGTTTGATACCTTCTTCAATTTTTTTTTTTTTTTAATTTCTATTTAGTAAATTAGCAAGAAATTAGTTTACAGAAAAGTTCCAAATAAAGCAGAAACTAATGTACTGTTTAACAAATGTAGAGTTAAATTTTTTATGCTCAAGAAACTTCTGAATCTTTGTGTATGCTGGATATTAGAAACTTACTGTCTGAAAAAATTATCTCAAAAGTCAGTCAGAGAACCTTCATGCATTGGTACTCTGTTACTTTTCCTGTTTTCCATTTATAAGTTTGTTCTTAGATATTTGAGAAAGGAAAATAACAAAATTTATAACAAATCGTTTGTAAGATACTGTTCCATTCATTGTATTACTAAATCTAGGCAATAGAGTTCTGTCAACCTCTTCTTGAAATTAGTGTAACTAACTATACTACTCAGCACGGGCTTAAAGTTCCTTGACCAAGATACACTTGTTGATAATGCAGATAATTTTTGGCAATAGATGGAGACATCTTGTTGGTGAAAGAGATTTTTGGGAGCATGTTGGAGGAATTGATATCTACTTGACTCCTTCTAGCTTTGGACAAGCAAATACACGGGTATGATACTGTAATCTTGAAAAGACTCTCATTCTTAATGAGATGGAGTGATGTATGTATAATTTCAGTTTGCTTTAACATATACTAAGCATTGTATTTCCTGCCATTTTGGTCTAATCTACATTGGTCCTTTTTAGGTCATTTAATTCATATTTATAATTTTGATCAGTTTGGTATTATGATCATAAATTTTCGAAGTCTTTGGTCCATTATGGAAGGACATAGATGCATCTTGCACATTTATGAAAGTAAACACAGCTTATTTGTTTTGGTCTTTCTGCAGACTTAATTTTTTTTTCTTTATTGATAGGCCTTTGATTCATTGCTCCGCAAGTTACATAAGTATGTTCCTTATGGTTCAGCAGTAACTGATTTATATGGAGGAGCTGGTGTTATTGGATTATCATTAGCCGTTGCAAAAAAAATGCAGGTAAGAAACTTGTCTTTTATATTCAAGGGGCTTATTCTCCTCTTAGCTTATAAAGAAAAAGAATCCGATTCTCATCTTTTAATGTAATTCTATTGTCTTTTCTGCACCTCTTTTTCATGAGGTTCTCAGAAGTGTCAGGTGTGTTGAGATTAACAAGGAGTCAAAGCACTGCTTTGAGAAGACAGTCAGCCGTTTACCAAATGTTGATAGCAACATGAGCTGGCATAATGTAGATGCTGCTCTGGTAAGCTTTTGGTCACTATAATCAACTCGATATGTACCTTTTCACTTATTGGAATTTCCTGAATTATACATTTACTGGCTCAAGGCTGTAGATTTTTGGGTTAGGAGGTTCTAATAAGACCGTCCATGGTGTCTATCACAACCTCTAAAGTTTGCATCTGTATTTACATGTGATAATGATTGCGATCACTTTGACATATAAGCTATGTTCTTGCTTGTTCTAGTTAGCCACTAACATGGTATATCAATTATCTGAAGGCAAGAGCCTTAGTTCTCTTGTTTTTAGTTACTGACATGGAAAATGTTTGGGTAGCTGGCGATAGTGTATTGTATGTAGTGAGTTTTGATAGAACTGTTTTGAGATGTTTGCTGTTGCTTATAAAAACTGCTCTGAGATCTGTGGGCAAAGAAGATACTAATGTAGAATGGGTCACGCCTTGTGAAGCTGCTTAATGTTTGAAATGCCAGTATTACAGGAGTGTTAATTGCAGTGAAAATCATTCATGACCGATTGTGTTATGTCCCTTGAAAACTCTTTTAGCTATTTAAATGATGTTTTGTTTATATGATAGTATGATACTAGTAAGTTAAAGCATTTTATTGGTGCTGAACCAGTTAGTACCTTTATCTCACTGTAAAAGATTTTAGTTTTCCTAGCAAGTTCATTTGCATGCAGGATGTGACCATTTTTTTAGGGTGCATTCTAGTCACCTGTATCAGAATGTATCCGAACTTTATTTATTTCAGCAATAAATTGAACTAAAGTAACCCTTGTTAACCCTAATCTGAATTTATCAACCTTTATTTAAAACTTTATTTTTTCGGGAAATAAGTGGAAACAAGGTGAGCAAAACAGGGCCTTTGAGTCTATATTGAGGTATATGTGGTACTTCTCACAGAATTTGTCACGCACAGCAAGTGCATTGATGCTTGCATTCTATATGCCTTGTGGGTATATTTAATGCAACTTTATGGGACTTTGGTTTTAACAAAGAAAGATCCCTGGCAGTTTTATCTTTTGTTCTTGCTAGTAAATTCTTTGGCTTGATGGGGAATGTAGAGTAGATTAGAGATGGACTTGATACTACTTTGATAGCAATTGAATTAGAGCTTTCCCTGATGTAGAGATCTTGCTTATTGGCACTGTGGTTGCTGATATTCTCACTGGGGTAGAAAATGATGTGCTAGATGATTTCACTTCACTCTTAATCACCTCCATCCTACCTTCCCTTTTCAATCTATCTTTCTTTTCCATTTCTCCTTTTGTTTGGACAGGGGTGTGAATAGAGCTTGTGATTCCGTGTGAATAGAGCTTGTGATTTATTGATGTCTGTTACCTGGCCAGGAACCTCTTTCATGGTTGGTGGGATCTGATGTAATTGTGGTTGATCCTCCCCGAAAAGGGCTGGATGACTCACTGCTTAGTTGCATTACAGACTATATCATCAGTAAAGCGCAAGGCAGTTGCTTCTTCCAGGTAGTCACTTTCTTTCAATATGGCCGTGATATTAGGATCAAGAATTTTCACAGTTCTTTACTCGGCTCATGAACTAAATGCCTGAAACTCATTTCAATTTGCTATTTCCTTAATTTGTAGCTCTCCCTCAAATTTGAGAAGAGGAAAAAAGACCATGGATCTTGCGAGAAAGAGAAGCTTCTGTCAGTGTACAAGGCTCAAATAGGCCAGATGAAAGTGATGTGCTTCCTCAAACACTTGTTTATATAAGCTGTGGATGGGATAGCTTCAAAAAGGTGCTAAAATCATACTTATTATTGCATTGGACATGGACTTATACTATGCTTTAGTTTTAAACAATATATACTAGTCAGTTTCTAATTTCATAGTTAATCTGCAGGACTGCAAACAGCTGTTATCAAACAAGGCTTGGCTTTTGGAAAAAGCTCATGGCTTTAACTTTTTTCCCGGAACACAAAGGTAAGCCTGATTTGCATCTACATGTTAACCTTCTTGAGTATTTTCTAATTATATGTGTGTTGGTTTATCCACGCTCGTATACTTCAGAGAATCATTCATTTGATAATTAGCAAGTTAAAATTTTGCTATGTTCTCCCGTCAAAAAAAAAAAAAAAAAAAAGGAGCAATTTAATTTTCAATATTATTTCAAGTTTGGACTACACCAATTCTGTTCTGACTTTTTTTTTTTGGGTGAAGAATTATGTACTTGTCTGGTCATGGTTATGTACAGGGCTTTGTTTGTACTAAATTGACCAAGGTTTAGCATGAACTTGTCCACTGGAATTTCCATACCCGAGAACCTGAAAATAACCCTTCTCCAGGCCCCAACATCCTGATTCTGTGTCTATCTACAATATTTGTGCATGCTTGTGTGGATATGCAGTGTGTGTTAGGATTATCTACAGTAGAGAGAGAGAGAGAGAGAGAGAGAGAAGAGAGAGAGAGAGTTGTGATTGAATTGTGATTGAATTATACTTCTGTTTGATATGATTAATGGAGTGTCTAGCCACTTGGAAGGCCTGGGGTTGTAAAATTCTTTAGTGATGATTTAATTGCATTGCTAATACGTAGCTCAACCATATATCAAACTTCCCCAAATCCTCTTCTTCATTTCAATTTTTTTTTTTCTTCATTTTCTATTTATTGTGGATTGCTTCATTGTAAGTTTTTATCCATGATGCATATTTCAATCACTCATTCCTGGAAGTTTTAGCTACCCTACACAGAAACGACGTTGAAAATCTAATGAAGTTCATGTACTCCATATTAATAATTGTTCATGTCTCTCTATATTTTCTGCCTATCACTGGGTTTAGAGTTCACACTCTGGATTAGTTGGTAAGATGCAATTCCATTATTAAGGTAATAGTTTGGTCTCATTTAAAATATATGTTGGAAATGTGGAATAGGATCCTATTTTTACTAATGTTTGCCTTTAGTTACTTATCTGGGTTTGACAAAACACTTGCAATGAAGAAGACTATATTAGCTTGATGCTTTGGTCTTTGTTCAAATGCTCTACAAGTCCCTCGTCTTGTTTAGTGTAGCAAAGCCATTGCTAGAACATATATAGACAGATTTTGTTCCAACTTAGTTTGAGCAGAGTCTATGGTATCTGGAATGTTCATGCATGGCCTCTGAATTGTATTTATCTTTCATATTATCATTGCACATTCATCGGAAGATTAATTGTTTCTAGTTTATTCTGCT